TTTTTAGGGGATAGATCAACTATGAAATTAGCAGATATAATTGAAGTCTATCAAATAATATTACCTGCATCATTTCTAATCCCCTTAAAAATTGTAATATGTATATAAACAAAGCCAATGTTTATAAACAAAATGTTTATGCCATGTTGCATTGAGCCTTGCTGTTGGAAAACCACATCAGTGTCTGACTTTCGTCTGTCACAGATGCATCTCCCCCCACTTCATTCCTGTGGCGAGACAGCATTTGCCCCAGTACTTTTTCAGAAGTCACCATGTTCAAAGCAGCAGCACCGACCAGGCCAGCGCATTTTTGCGGTCCAGTTCAACATTTACCTGCTCTGTCGCATCTACCATTGAAAATCATTGTAGACTACACTGAGAAAAGTTGTGCTATTTGTTAATCGGCTGTCCCCATATGAGAACCCTTTGAAGAAACCTTTTTGTTTCCAGGTAGAACCCTTTGGTTCCAGGTAGAACTACACTAAACAAAAATATAAACGCAACATGCAACAATTTCAAAGATTTTACTGAGTTACAGTTCATATAAGGAAATCAGTCAATTGAAATAAATTCATTAGGTCCTAATCGATGAATTTCACATGACTGAGAATACAGATATGCATCTGTTGGTAACAAAAGATAGGGCGTGGATCAGAAATCCAGTCAGAATCTGGTGTGACCACCATTTTCCTCATGCAGCGCGATACATCTCCTTTGCATAGAGTTGATCAGGCTGTTGATTGCGGCCTGTGGAATGTTGTCCCACTCCACTTCAATGGCTGTGCGAAGTTGCTGGATATAGCGGGAACTGGAACACGCTGTCGTACACGTCAATCCAGAGCATGCCAAACATGCTCAATAGGTGACATGTCTGGTGAGTATGCAGGCCATGGAAGAACTGGGACATTTTCAGTTTCCAGGAATTGTGTACAGATCCTTGCGACATGGGGCCGGTCATTATCATGCTGAAACATGAGGCGATGGCGGCGGATGAATGGCACGATAATGGGCCTCAGGATCTCATCACGGTATCTCTGTGCATTCAAATTGCCATCGATAAAATGCAATTGTGTTCGTTGTCCGTAGCTTATGCCTGCCCATACCATAACCCCACTGCCACCATGGGGCACTCTGTTCACAACATTGACATCAGCAAACCGCTCGCCCACATGACACCATACATGCTGTCTGCCATCTGCCCGGTACAGTTGAAACCGGGATTCATCTGTGAAGAGCACACTTCTCCAGCATGCCAGTGGCCATCGAAGGTGAGCATTTGCCCACTGAAGTTGGTTACGACACCAAACTGCAGTCAGGTCAAAACCCTGGTGAGGACGACGAGCATGCAGATGAGCTTCCCTGAGACGGTTTCTGACAGTTTGTGCAGAAATTATTCAGTTGTGCAAAACCACAGTTTCATCAGCTGTCCGGGTGGCTCGTCTCAGACCATCCCGCAGGTGAAGAAGCCGGATGTGGAGGTCTGCGGTTGTGAGGCCGGTTGGACGTACTGCCAAATTCTCTAAAATGACATTGGAAGCAGTTTTTGGTAGAGAAATTAACATTAAATTCTCTGGCAACATCTCTGGTGGACATTCCTGCAGTCAGCATGTCAGTTGCATGCTCACTCAAAACTTGAGACATATGGCATTGTGTTGTGTTGTGTGACAAAACTGCACATTTTAGAGTGGCCTTTTCCTGTCCCCAGCACAAGGTGAACCTGTGTAATGATCATACTGTTTAATCAGCTTCTTGATATACCACACCTGTCAGGTAGATGAATTATCTTGGCAAAGGAGAAATGCTCATTCACAGGGATGTAAACAAATTTGTGCACCAAATTTGAGAGAAATAATATTTTTGTGCGAATGGAATATTTCTGGGATCTTTTATTTCAGCTCATGAAACATGGGACCAACACTTTACATGTTGCATTTGTATTTTTGTTCCGTATATTTTGGGTTCCATATAGAACCCTTTCCACAGAGGGTTCTACATGGAACCCAAAATGGTTCTCCTATGGGGACAGCTGAAGAACCCCTTTGGAACTCTTTTTTTCTAAGAGTGTAGTGTAAGTAGATCCAATAGAAATAGCACCGATTCTAATAATATACGTTTGTAAAGCAAATCATCCAATTTTAACTCGCTTTTTTTTTTCAGATGCAAACCCTTGTGTCCTGATTCAACAGACACCTCCCTTGGTGCGTCATGGAAAGTTTCTCCCATTTCTCTCTTGCTCATTCTCCCTGTAACTCACACACGTGCACATTTGCAGAGAAGAGGAAGAGATTTGTGAAATACACCCATTTCTAAAAATGTTTGTTATAGGAATGATATGACAGACACAACTTTAATATATTTTTATTGTCTCTATTGCCGCTTTTCACATACTTACATTTTTGCATTTAGCTCTCTTTTTTAAGACTGCCAAGCTGTCCTCAATTGTGGAAATCTCTGTCAGGGACAGCGTCCTCAGGATTATGGAGCGGTGTGTTTATAAAAAGTTCTTTGAATATTACAACATGTATTAGGATTAAGCATAAGGTTACTATTTAGAGATTAGTTCAAATGTGTAATTATCCAATTACTGTCAAATTTTTATATCCTCTTTCTTAAAACGTTTCACATTAAGGACCAATGAATTCATGTCCCACTTCAATATGAAGGGACAGAAGAGCAAACATGCCTTTACTACCACTTTTAGTAGATTCTGACTGTTCTGACTTTTAGTAGATTCTGACTGTTCTGACTTTTAGTAGATTCTGACTGTTCTGACTTTTAGTAGATTCTACTGTGTGTTACTGTTCTGTCGTGTCCTGCTTGCCCACATTATGCCAATCGTTATTTATTTATTTATTCTTACAGTAAGTATCATAAGAAGCCAGAAAACTCAGGAGGTTGATGTGTTGCGGGCCCTCTGGAAAGTCCTAAAATATACCCCTGACCGCCGTGGTGGAGAAGGATGCAAAGTATCTATATGAGCAAGTTTCCCTTTTTTAAAGACATCTCTAAGCTATAACTGCCACAAAATTCGTCAACTTGTACCATGGAAATACTTTTAGCCAGCAGAGTCTACAAAGTTTCTTCAATAATGTCCTTTTTCTAGTTTGCTTTTAAAATTGATAAAGTTGTAATGCGCTGATTCTCTTCACTGCAGATCTGACCCATCACACGACTCTTCAAGAGGGCCACTACGCTCCAGATCACCTTCTGTGTTCCCATAGGAGAACACTTTGAAAAGCCCTTTTTGGTTCCAGGTAGAATCATTTTGGTTTCAGGTAGAACCCTTTTGGGTTCTATGTAGGCCCCTTTCCACAGAGGGTTCTACATGGAAACCAAAAGGGTTCTATTTGGAACCAAAATGGCTTCTCCCTGGAACCAAAATGGTTCTCCTATGGGGACAGCCGATGAACCCTTTTGGAACCCTTTTTTCTAAGAGTGTAGGTAATAAGCTGTAGTCAGGTGGTCATTACCAGGTTATGATGAGGTCTTAACTATGACCAGAAGGCTACATAATATAGCACATAATATAGTAGTCAGAATTATGACAAGCTGGTCAAATTGAGGTCACAGTTATGGCCAACTGGTTGTATGGTGGTCAGAAAAATCAGTTTAAAAACCAGTTTGCGACCAGAATTAGACATCATAAAAAGACGTCAACCAGGTTTTGCCGACTGGGATTGGTTGACAAATTGTGCCTCCCACTAGCCAGGCGACGGCTGCATAGTGCAGTTGGTGAGAAGCAACTGCAGCGACTTGAAGGCGACTTAATAAAAAACGGAGTTGGACAATTTTTCTCCCCATAATGCAAAACACAATTTGAAAGTCGGACAATTTTTCTCCCCATAATGCAAAACACAATTTGAAAGGCGGGGACCAATGATGGTCACCAACTGGACAAAATGTATCCACTCGAACGCGCCCAATAACTGGATATATGATATCTATGACATACTCATGCTAACCATACCTGAAATGTACCTGTAATCAGAGAGTAAGCTGTTCAGTAATATTTTCCAAAATCTTTGCTGTAATCTACACTTCGATCCTCACAGATCTTGTGTTTTGTCTTAGAACAATGTATTGTTGAAAAACAAAATGTACTAGATCTGGAGTAGGGCAAGTTGAAAGTAGTATTGTTTCTCTAATAAAGTTATGTTCCGGATGAAATGTCTCTTGGGAGAATGTAGATAGATAAATGTGTATATTGTTTGCAACGGTCAGTTTGGGCTGCCGGAAAATATATTATTCATTTAACATTAGATACGCTATATATACAAAAGTATGTGGACACCCCTTCAAATTTGTGGATTCGGCTATTTCAGCCACACCCATTGTTGACAGGTGTATACAATCGAGCACACAGCCATGCAATCTCCATAGACAGGCATTGGCAGTAGTATGGCCCGTACTGAAGAACTCAATGACTTTCAATGTGGCACCATCATAGGATGTTCATCGGGAGCTTCATGAAATGGGTTTCCATGGCCGAGCAGCCGCACACAAGCCTTGCGCAATACCAAGTGTCGGCTGGAGTGGTGTAAACTCCATATTAATGCCCATGATTTTCGAATGAGATGTTTGACAAGCAGGTGTCCACATACTTTTGGTCATGTAGTGTAGCTTGCCTACTAGTTCATTACGATTTCCTCATATTCATGTTTATTGATAGCGTCAATAATACAGGCAGGCCTACTCAATAATAATGATTTTATTACTAAAATTCTAAATATTCCAATACAAACATTTTTATATATATATAGAAAAAAAAGTTAAATATTATTGTCTACACACATCCCATCAAAATAACGCCTAGGTTATCCTACTATTTTTCAGTCAGAATGATTAATGTGAATATATAAAATCTATGGAGGAACACAACTACAGGTAGCCTACCCTACCTCAATGTGGAGTGCAATCCCAGAATCTAACAACACACTATGAATCTAAGTTTGAAGGTTTTATACAAAGCTCTTATACAGAGGACACCCACTCAATTCCCATCAGGGTTTCATGGCGTTCTTGCTAAGCTTGTCACCAAGCTGTTGGATCAAGTCAGCTAGTTCCTCTGTGGCCTGAGACTTCTCCTCCAGAAGCTCATATCGCAGGCTGGAGATGTCCTGCTTTATCTCCTTCAGCTCCCCTGCAAGGGATGCACCACAGGTTATTAATCACTCAATCCACTACAGATCCATGTCACAGCCTTGCAGTTGTAAGAATGATCAGTCTTCCGTTAAGCGGGCACAACAGCTTTCTGATCTTACATATGGATATGAATCATAAATCACCTTCGTTGATTTCGTCATTTTCACTGTCAACCTGAGCCTTTAGCACATATCGCTTAATAAGCCTCTTCATAAGTTTCTGTCAAGAAAAGAGAGAGAATCTTAACTGTAGAGACATCAGTTCAAAATGTAGCACTTCTGAGTATCGTCTGATCTTGCTAATTAATCAAATTGACTGGTATTGAGGAAGTACCTGGTATCGAGTAGGATGTTTGATGGTTTTCCTAATAGTGAAGTCATCCTGCCCTGGTGTCCTGGTTTGAGGTCTGTACTGATTGAGCTGAAACAGAACAGAAACCACACACCCATTAAAAAATCCATTAAAGACTGACAACATCTAACGAGGCAGATATACATCTGGCTACAGCCACTCCCTCAAAGCAGACTTCTGACCTTAAATCGCAAATTGATCATGGCCGTATCCTGCTGGTTGTCTTGGAGACAGGCTTTGGCCTTGCACAGCCTCACCAGACAAGCCCTTGTGCGCAGGGCTAGGTAGTAGAAGGACTTGGGGCTGGGAACCAGGTTAAATGGTGGGGGAAGAGTATGTCCCTCGTTAAAGTAGGACAGCCAGAGTTTGGCACGGGCAAACTTCCACTCCACATCAGCATCCTCCTGTTGAGATTGAGACAGACCACCAGTGTGAGCATAACTGGAGAGTGATATGAGAGAGGCAATGACTCATTTATTTTCATTTGAATTCATCTAGTATGGTCTGATCATTTTACCAGAACTGCTCGCAACAGTACACTCATAAAATGGTACATGAATACAACATAAACATAACAGTATAATACTCACACATACTCACACACATTATTTCCCTTTGACCTCAAAACAGTGATTATTGACTTTTGATTTCCTGTGAATTCCCTAGTGGTATTTAGGCCTATTGGTTCCTAGTCTCACCTCAATCTCCTGATAGGAGTGATTGATCATTGCAATCAGCATGTTGAGCAGTACGATTACCATGGTTACATTGTAGACGCCAAAGAGAACATAACCAATGTTCTCTATGAACTTATGGTCATACTTCAAGACCACAGAGATAACCTCAGACAAGCCGAAGATGGACCAAAATAGAGTCTTAAAGCTCTCCTCCACTCTGTGAACACATGTAAACATAAATAATCAAACACAACACACACAGACTAACACACAAACACACACGAGCGGTATACGCGTGGACCCTGACATTTAGAAATAACACACAAATGAATAAATACATCTACAGTTGCTTGCAAAAGTATTCACCCCCCTTGGCATTTTTCCTATTTTGTTGCCTTACAACCTGGAATAAAATTGATTTTTTTGGGGGGTTGTATCATTTGATTTACACAACATGCCTACCACTTTGAAGATGCAAAATATTTTTTTTGTGTGAAACAAACAGGAAATAAGACAAGAAAAACAGAAAACTTGAGCGTGCATAACTATTCACTCCCCCAAAGTCAATACTTTGTAGAGCCACCTTTTGCAGCAATTACAGCTGCAAGTCTCTTGGGGTATGTCTCTATAAGTTTGGCACATCTAGCCACTGGGATTTCTGCCCATTCTTCAAGGCAAAACTGCTCTAGCTCCTTCAAGTTGGATGGGTTCCGCTGGTGTACAGCAATCTTTAAGTCATACCACAGATTCTCAATTGGATTGAGGTCTGGGCTTTGACTAGGCCATTCCAAGACATTTAAATGTTTCCCCTTAAACCACTCAAGTGTTGCTTTAGAAGTATGCTTAGGATCATTGTCTGCTGGAAGGTGAACCTCCATCCCAGTCTCAAATCTCTGGAAGACTGAAACGGGTTTCCCTCAAGAATTTCCCTGTATTTAGCACCATCCATCATTCCTTCAATTCTGACCAGTTTCCCAGTCTCTGCCGATGAAAAACATCCCCACAGCATGATGCTGCCACCACCATGCTTCACTGTGAAGATGGTGTTCTCGGGGTGATGAGAGGTGTTGGGTTTGCGCCAGACATTACGTTTTACTTGATGGCCAAAAAGCTCAATTTTAGTCTCATCTGACCAGAGTACCTTCTTCCATATGTTTGGGGAGTCTCCCACATGCCTTTTGGCGAACACCAAACGCGTTTGCTTATTTTTTACCTTAAGCAATGTTTTTTTCTGGCCACTCTACCGTAAAGCCTAGCTCTGTGGAGTGTACGGCTTAAAGTGGTCCTATGGACAGATACTCCAATCTCCGCTGTGGAGCTTTGCAGCTCCTTCAGGGTTATCTTTGGTCTCTTTGTTGCCTCTCTGATTAATGCCCTCCTTACCTGGTCCGTGAGTTTTGGTGGGCGGCCCTCTCTTTGCAGGTTTATTGTGGTGCCATATTCTTTCAATTTTTTAATAATGGATTTAATGGTGCTCCGTGGGATGTTCAAAGTTTCTGATATTTTTTTATAACCCAACCCTGATCTGTACTTCTCCAAACCTTTGTCCCTGACCTGTTTGGAGAGCTCCTTGGTCTTCATGGTGCCGCTTGCTTGGTGGTGCCCCTTGCTTAGTGGTGTTGCAGATTCTGGGGCCTTTCAGAACAGGTATATACTGTATATACTGAGATCATGTGACACATAGATTGCACATAAATCGACACTTAAATTGACCAATTTTGACTAATTTGTGTATGTCCATTACATGAACTCCAAATAAAATCAATTTAAATTACAGGTTGTAATGCAACAAAATAGGAAAAACGCCAAGGGGGATGAATACTTTTGCAAGGCACTGTACATCTCTACTTAAAGCATTTAATTTACAGGAAGAGGCATGAGGGTACTTACGTGGTGAAGGCAGGGTTGTACTTGGCACCAAGGTAATAGGAATATAGATTGAACATGCCAATCATGAAAGCCAGGAAGACCATTATGAAGATGACCATGAACTTGAAGATGTCCTTGACCGTCCGGCCTAGGGAGATTTGAAGTGGGCCAAAGCTCTCATTGGCAGGCAAGATGTAGGCAATGCGGGAGAAACTGAGCACCACTGCAATGGAGTACAAACCCTCGGAGATGAGCTGAGGGTCGGAGGGTAACCACCTGTTCCTGGCTGAGAGAGAGAAACGGTGGTTACTATTAAATGTCCTTACCAAGGGGTGGCAGCACTTGTTCGTTTTATGACACTAAGGTTACTGTAATGCTACATACACACCCTGTTTGTCTGTAGACAGAGTTGAACCAATGCTATTATTATAATCATTTTTTAATCATAACGTATCACTGGCACTGACCATGGGTGTAGTATGCTACATTTGGAGGCAGTGAGGCGTTACTCAGGTCTATGTTGGGCATGTTGGGCACATACATATCCACATACAACTGGGCCTCAGAGGCCCTCAGGAAGGCCATGAGCCGAGCCGTGAAGGATGCCACGAAGATGGACAGCATGCCAAAGTCTAGCACGTTCCACAGGTGCATGATGTACTCCCTTGGCCCATCAGCCCAGATCTCCTTACACTCCGACCAGATCATCCCTAACAAAGAGAAGAGGGCTTTTCAGTTGGTGCAAAAGCCCTCTGTTTGGAGCATACGAGTGAAATTATTTCAGTACATTCAGATTTCATTCAGATTATACCGTGGTAAAGAGATATGACCAAGGAGATATGAATAGACTGGATAATAATGTCTCTCCCACAAAAGCAGCTGTTTGTAAATCAGAGTAATTTACCAATCACCCAATTCATGATGAGCATCTCAGTCCAGGAGAATTGACTGGTTTTGACCCTGAACACCTGAAGAGGGTGGTCTGTTATAGTCTCGTTGGGAAGGTTCTTGACCCCCTCGAAGCGGTCCGAGGCATTGATTACCAGCAGCCCAAGAAAGATGGTGAATGAAACAGCATGGGCCACAAACTTCATGAAGGGGCTACGGAGAATCTGACCGAACTGATACAGAGGAAATCAACCACATAAACGGCAACCATCAACCTCATGATATAAACATATCATATTTTTGTAATATAAAACGTGTTAATGAGTGATTCTGAGAAAACGATAGAAAGGGGATTGTGAATGTACCTTACTGCAGGGCACTATCCAGTATGCCATTGAGATGAAAGGAAGGCCGATTGCCACTCCCAGGACTATCCAGCATTTCACCCCAACAGACTGCTGCCTAAGTCCAGCTAGGTTCTCATACCACAGGGTCAGGAGCTGCTGCTGGCAGTTAGGATGGGCCACAAACTAGAGACATGATGAAAAATAACTTTGACATACTACAACATTGATAACCAGAGGCAGAGGGTGACTGCTTTGTCGTTGTAGAATCCCTACATTGATGGTTGTTAAACAGCTGTAAAACACCTATTTCATTTAGGTCCCATTCCAGTTTTTCTTTATAATAAACCCTTTATAGGGGACGGGTAGAATGGGATAATGTAATCAAAAGTGTGTTTCTCATTGTGCCCTTGAGATTGATTGCTATTCAAATTAAGAATTGTGTTAAAGACACAATTACAGAGACGCACAAAGACATAAACCCCATTTACATTTTAGTCATTTAGCAGACGCTCTTATCCAGAGCGACTTACAGTTAGTGAGTGCATACATTTTCATACTAGTCCCCCGTGGGAAACGAACCCACAACGCTGGCGTTGCAAGCGCCATGCTCTACCAACTGAGCTACACTGGACTACAGAGGGAGATTAACATTTTAAATGGCCTTTTGAAAAAAATATAATGTTTGATTTCAGGTTGAGTGATTCAGCTAACCTTCTTGACCTCGTACTTAATGGCCAGTTTGACCCGACTGAGGCAGGGTCGACTGTGATCGCCGGGCAGAGCTTGGTCCACATCCCCATTCAAAATGGCCTCCACCTCCTCCGTGTCTCTGCATAAGTCAAGCACTCCCACCACAAAGTCCTTACACTGCATGGACAGCTTCCTGTAGTCATTCTACACAGAGAGAAGAGAGAGAGAGAGAATTCTGTAAGAATGATTGAAAAAACTCCAGGGGTCACATCTTTTGATGGATTGTTATGTGGTAGTCTCTCACTTTTTGGTCTGCATGCAAAATATTCTAATAGAAACCTGGAAAACCACAGATCAACCGTTTCTGCACTGACAAATACTGCATATATTATCTTCTCTCATTAAGGCAGGGTGTGTGAGAGTGTGAGTTTGAATGCCAATGTTTGTCACACATTTTGGTTCTTTATAATGAGCATACATTGTGTGTTTGTGCGCACACATTTCTACATGTCTTTCTGAGGCTGTGTGTGTGTGTCTTTGTGGCTAAGTTCATACCCATGTTAATCCTCAACCCAAACTATCTTTTTGTTTGATTAGCCTGATTACTGAGAGGTCAGTAATCAGGACAAAATAACAAAAAGATTAGACTGAACTCTCTGTGGATTACTTTTAATTAACAGCTCCCTCATACAATAACAGGAGGATTCAGGGCCGGCCCTAGGTATAAGCGACTGCTTAGGGCCCCCCACCATTTTTCGTTGTTGCAAAATCTCTCCACCCCATAGCAAAATGTGTAGTATTGCAGCAAACTTGCTTTAAAACTGAAGAAAAAAAAATAACTTAGGGCCCAAAAAAGGCTGCCAGGAGTCAACAGACTGGATATGAAAATCCTTGATTAGACTTGTTCTTCTCTCACTGATTCCCAGAATTGAATTCCCCTTTGAGTGCAGGTGGCTTATCTACAGGCACATGCACAGATAGAGGTCTAAGGGTGCCTGAGCATCTGTCCTTTTGCCCTCCTATGAGAAAAGTGCCCTTCAGATTGGTGGCATTTTAAATTATTACATTTTTATTTCCCTTATAGTCTATTTTCTCTCTTGTTAATTAAATACATTGCCCATCAAACTAGCTATAGTAATTTCTCATTTTTGAATCTAGGAGTGCCCACTGCACTCGTCCTGCAGGCAGAAGCTACCGGCGCTGAACGGTAGTGTAGTAGTTACTACCTTTTAAATTACGTGTCATCTCACAGTCAGGAACAGGGAAGGCTTTAATTTAACTGTTTGTTAGTAGGCCTAAAAGGCAAATGTCAGCAGCAGAACAAATTCAAATCACTGATTCTCTTATGTGTCGGACCCCAGGAAGACTAGCTGTCGCCAATGGCGTCGGCTAATGGGGATCCCAATTAAATCTCAATCTAAAGACTAGTTAGATTGTTTCAACAGAATAGCTAACTAGCTAGCTAATTAGCTGATTTACATGATCTACAGCCCACCCCTGTTTTCCCTCTCTTTGAGCAGTAGGCTATAATAAAGGTCTGTGCTAAAAAATATACTGTATGTTAAAATTTGGCTAGACATCGTGATAATTTCTAACCATGTCACAAGGTCAATGACTGATTTGAGCGTGTTCCCAATCTTCATTTTCTCAGAGCGGGATCCAATAATATAAGAGTGTTTCATTTGTGGGAGTGTACTGTACATTAACTACATCTAGAGAGAGAGGGAAAGGGAAAGAGATGTGTGAGGATTATTTAAATGAGGCAAACCCTAGGGGTCACGTGTCAGTCTCTCACTTTTTGGTCTGCATGTAAAATATTCCAATAAAAACCTGGAAAACCAGAGACCAACCTTTTCTGCACTGACAAACACTGTGTATATTTCATTAAGGCAGGGTGTGAGAGTGTGAGTTTGCATTCCAATGTTTGTGTTTGTCACACATAATGGTTCTTTATAACGAGAATGACCTGTGTGTGTGCGTCTGTGTGTGTTGGTGTGCGTGTGTGTTTGTGTACTGTGTGGCTCAGTTGGTAGAGCATGGTGCGTGCAACCCCAGGGTTGCGGGTTCAATTCCCACGGGGGACCAGTACGAAAAGAAAAAAAGTATGAAAATGTATGCTTTGGATAAGAGTGTCTGCTAAATTATTAAAATGTAGAAAGAGGAGATACTGTATTTGTGTGTCTACATTCATACCCAATGACTCATTTGAGCGTGTTCCCAATCTTCATTTTCTCAAAGCGGGTTCCAATAATATAAGTGTGTCAACACTCCAATAATATTTGAGTGTAGTGCACATGTACTACCTGATTTGATCTCTTCCCAATTAATCATGCCTGTGTGATCAAAAGACTGAAATCAGCTCTAGGGCTTTCAGAAATATCTACACAAAGCTTTGAGCCCATATTGCAAAATTAGTGAGCGGGAGGAGAGCATATGAGAGAGAAAGCAAGCCAATACATTACACAGATGAAAATATCCTTTAGCAGTAAACCCACTTCTTTCAATCCTCAAGCTTGGTCTTTATGTTTCTCACCTTGAACTCAGTCTCGATGTTGGCGAGGCGAGCCAGCTCGTTGCTGAGCTCCAGAGCGGTGAATACAGGGTCCTCACTAGACAGGGACAGGTAGGCAGCGCTGGCCAGCCCTTTATAAGCATTCATCCTGGAGCGGGAGTGGCTGAACGAGTCACGGCACTGCTTGTCATGACACTCACTACACTTACAGAAGTAGTCATGGGGCTTCTCGATACGCGCTCCCTTCATCAACAGAGTGTGGACTATCTCATACTCCTGGCAGTGTGCAGCCAGGATGACCGGGGTCACGTCATGGGAGAAACGCGTGCCGTCTTCGTCGTAGGCATAAAAGTCATCATCTCGTAGCTCCTGCTCCAGGGGGCTTAGGGTGAGGCGCAGCCCACCTCCGAATGCAGGGTGGGCCAGGATAGCCTCTACGATACGCACATAGCCCTTACTGATGGCCAATAGGAGGCCATCGCCCACACGAGCCAGACCCTCCTTCTTCAGCAGCAGCTCTGTTACCTCCAAGTGCTCATTACCCACGGCCAACTGCAGTGCATTCTGGCCCATGTAGTCCACAGAGTTGACGTTGAGGGTCTTGGACTCCTCCAGCATCTTACGCACCACTGGGATGTTCCCGTACTCAGCAGCGTCCAGGAAGCGCTCCTCCTCTGTAGTGAGACTGGTGCCCCGCTCACTGAACATGTAGGCTGGCCCACGGATAGCCTGCCGACGACCCTTCTCTCGCACAGTAGTTTTTCTATGGTGCATGGTCTCAACTCTGAATGGAGAAAGACGGTGAAAAAAAACTATTCAGACCACAAGGAAAATCACAGGAATTGAAGAGAAAAGTGAGTAGAAAAAAACACAACATTCAGTGCAGATGTTTACACTTTTCAAAATGATAGTCAAGGAGTGCTTGGATACTTTTTGTTTTCTGCAATGGCATGATTATGTAATTTCAGCATGTATAATTAAGCAATAAGGCCCGAGGAAGTGTGGTATATGGCCAATATACCACAGCTAAGAGCTGTGCCTGGACACAGCCCTTAGTCATGGTATATTGGTCATACAGTGAGGGAAAAAAGTATTTGATCCCCTGCTGATTTTGTACGTTTGCCCACTGACAAAGAAATGATAAGTCTATAATTTTAATGGTAGGTTTATTTTAACAGTGAGAGACAGAATAACAACAAAAAGATCCAGAAAAACGCAAAAATGTTATAAATCGATATGCATTTTAATGAGGGAAATAAGTATTTGACCCCCTCTCAATCAGAAAGATTTCTGTCTCCCAGGTGTCTTTTATACAGGTAACGAGCTGAGATTAGGAGCACACTCTTAAAGGCAGTGCTCCTAATCTCAGTTTGTTACCTGTATAAAAGACACCTGTCCACAGAAGCAATCAATCAATCAGATTCCAAACTCTCCACCATGGCCAAGACCAAAGAGCTATCTAAGGATGTCAGGGACAAGATTGTAGACCTACACAAGGCTGGAATGGGCTACAAGACCATCGCCAAGCAGCTTGGTGAGAAGGTGACAACAGTTGGTGCGATTATTCGCAAATGGAAGAAACACAAAATAACTGTCAATCTCCCTCGGCCTGGGGCTCCATGCAAGATCTCACCTCGTGGAGTTGCAATGATCATGACAACGGTGAGGAATCAGCCCAGAACTACACGTGAGGATCTTGTCAATGATCTCAAGGCAGCTGGGACCATAGTCACCAAGAAAACAATTGATAACACACTACGCCGTGAAGGACTGAAATCCTGCAGCGCCCGCAAGGTCCTCCTGCTCAAGAAAGCACATATACATGCCCGTCTGAAGTTTGCCAATGAACATCTGAATGATTCAGAGGAGAACTGGGTGAAAGTGTTGTGGTCAGATGAGACCAAAATTGAGCTCTTTGGCATCAACTCAACTCGCCGTGTTTGGAGGAGGAGGAATGCTGCCTATGACCCCAAGAACACCATCCCCACCGTCAAACATGGAGGTGGAAACATTATGCTTTGGGGGTGTTTTTCTGCTAAGGGGACAGGACAACTTCACCGCATCAAAGGGACGATGGAGGGGCCATGTACCGTAAAATCTTGGGTGAGAACCTCCTTCCCTCAGACAGGGCATTGAAAATGGGTTGTGGATGGGTATTCCAGCATGACAATGACCCAAAACACACGGCCAAGGCAACAAAGGAGTGGCTCAAGAAGAAGCACATTAAGGTCCTGGAGTGGCCTAGCCAACTCCAGACCTTGCCAAACGTCAGCCTCGAAACCTTAATGACTTGGAGAAGATCTGCAAAGAGGAGTGGGACAAAATCCCTCCTGAGATGTGTGCAAACCTGGTGGCCAACTACAAGAAACGTCTGACCTCTGTGATTGCCAACAAGGGTTTTGCCACCAAGTACTAAGTTATGTTTTGCAGAGTGGTCAAATACTTATTTTCCTCATTAAAATGCAAATCAATTCATCACATTTTTGACATGCGTTTTTCTGGATCTTTTTGTTGTTATTCTGTCTCTCACTGTTCAAATAAACCTACCATTAAAATTATAGACTGATCATTTCTTTGTCAGTGGGGGATCAAATACTTTTTTCCCTCACTGTATACCACAAACCCAGAGGTGCCTTATTGCTATCATAAACTGTTTACCAACGTAATTAGAGCAGTAAAAATAAATATTTTGTCGTACCCATGGTATACGGTCTGATTTACCACAGCTGTCAGCCAATCAGCATTCAGGGCTTGAACCACCCAGTTTATAATACACAACATCCTTGGTCTGCTGAGTTTTTTTATTGAGCCATTGTATGACAGGTGTCGGTCTCTCTATGGAGAGAGGTGTGATCGGCATCTGTTGAATTCTGACGGCTTTGATTGAAAGCCAGATGTTTGCTGTACATTACTAGCTAAGCAAAACATATCCTGAAGTCACTGATGGGGACTTCTGTCTCAATCCAGTCCTCTCTATATAGGGTTCATATGCCCAGTTAAATAAATGCAGCCTCATGGTGTTCTTCAAGTAACCTACACTCAGAAAGCTGTCCAATCTGTTTCAGTCCAATGACAGCTGCCCAGCTACTTGTTAAATGAAGCGGAAGGATGGGCCCGGGGAAATGTTACCACTCTAAATTTCATAAATGGGGCTATGGATGCATGGCCTGACAGTCCATGCGATCAACAGGATACAATAGTTTTACACATATTTGGCTATATTATGTTTGTTTGCAAATACTCCAAATGGGAGTGTTATAAATCATATGAATATCATAAACAGGCCTACTCATAATTTGGGTTATATAAAGGTAAGACAGGTGTAGGAAGATAGTTGTACTAGACTGATGAGCAGTGGCGACCCGTCATCGTATTTTTTAATTTCTTCTGTTTTGCATGTTATTTTGACATTAATACGTGTCACATATCAGTTTGCAAACAATGTAAAAAAAAAAAAAATCATTGAGTTAATAAAGCCGCATACAAACATGGTCTCTGTTTTGCTTTCTTGAGTAAGGCAGCTCCAAAATGCAGGTGTTTCAGCCTAGCTCAGTGCTTTCTGTGGTGGAGGGGCAGCCAATGGAAAATACGGAGCGAGGGGTTGGTAATGTTCTCTAGTTGCGCCGTGATTGGCTCAGTGTTCTGTCACTCATGGGGACACTACATCACCGCAAAACCTCTGGGGAGAGCTCTAAAATTCAAGCCCCTTGGGTGCTGCCATAGACTTACATTAGAAGTGTCCATCCAAGAAGGCTCAAGGTCATTGGCCACAGATAAAAGGACGTCAAATCACGTTATATCTACCGTACTTTGATTGGGCTGATCATGTCAACATCATACTTTCAAAATCTTAGCTAGCAAGCTGGACAAGTAGTCATCATCATGAATCAAGTCGACAATCTACTGGCAAATCCTTTTCAATCCTTGTCATATGAAGATAAATTATAGATAAAACGTATCAATGCTCATCGGCCATAGGACATAAACATTACACAACAAGTTGGAAATCACAAATTCAACAATGTGTGGTTTGGAAGGATTCAGTGGCTAACTGCAAGCGTTGCAAAGCAATCACTAGCCTGCTATTCAGTGGAGTGGGTGTGTGGTCCAAGTCTGGGTTTAAAGGTCTCTTTTCCAAGCTTAAAAGGATAAACATTCAACACAATGGGCCAGAAAAGGTTAAATGCATTGGCCATGTTGTCAATACAGCATGACTTCTGCCACGTTTAAAAAACAACTGGGAACTCAGAAAAAAACGAGCTCCGACTGGGAAAATATGTTTTGAACGGTCATCCAACTAGGAATTCCATGTCGGGAACACTAGAGCTCCGACCTGAAGATCACAGACGTCATGATTCGACCTTGTTTTTTCCCAGCTGTCTTGAAAGCACCATAAATCCAGAGGATGCCAGACTTTGATGACAAAATCTTCCCACAAGGACCAACATGCCACCTTCCTGTTCATTGTCTGCTTATATGCCCCCTTTATTTATCCTACGGTTCTGACTTGGTGTACAGGGAGAACACTGTAAGAACGGCCCATGTTCTGAATTCTGTCACTGTACATTTCAAAAGTGCTGAACAAATAGTTATATTGACTACATCCATCTTAGCTCGCTAATTAATGTCTTCATTGAAATTACGGATTGCCTCTTATCTGCTCGTTGTCCCCTTATGCCATAGTTTGTACATCTCAATTGTCAGTAGAAACCATATTTGTTTACATACACCTTAGCCAAATACATTTACAGTATCTCACAAAAGTGAGTACACCCCTCAAATTTTTGAAAATATTTGAGTATATCTTTTCATGTGACAACACTGAAGAAATGACACTTTGCTACAATGTAAAGTAGTGAGTGTACAGCTTGTATAACAGTGTACATTTGCTGTCTCCTCAAAATAACTCAACACACAGCCATTAATGTCTAAACCGCTGGCAACAAAAGTGAGTACACCCCTAAGTGAAAATGTCAAAATTGGGCCCAATTAGCCATTTTCCCTCCCCGGTGTCATGTGACTCGTTAGTGTTACAAGGTCTCAGGTGTGAATGGGGAGCAGGTGTGTTAAATTTGGTGTCATCGCTCTCACACTCCCTCATACTGGTCACTGGAAGTTCAACATGGCACCTCATGGCAAATAACTCTCTGAGGATCTGAAAAAAAGAATTGTTGCTTTACATAAAGATGGCCTGGGCTATAAGAAGATTGCCAAGACCCTGAAACTGAGCTGCAGCACGGTGGCCAAGACCATACAGCAGTTTAACAGGACAGGTTCCACTCAGAACAGGCCTCGCCATGGTCGACCAAAGAAGTTGAGTGCACGTGCTCAGCGTCATATCCAGAGGTTGTCTTTGGGAAATAGACGTATGAGTGCTGCCAGCATTGCTGCAGAGGTTGAAGGGGTGTGGGGTCAGCCTGTCAGTGCTCAGACCATACGCCGCACACTGCATCAAATTGGTCTGCATGGCTGTCGTCCCAGAAGGAAGCCTCTTCTAAAGATGATGCACAAGAAAGCCCGTTTGCTGAAGACAAGCAGACTAAGGACATGGATTACTGGAACCATGTCCTGTGGTCTGATGAGACCAAGATAAACTTATTTGGTTCAGATGGTGTCAATCGTGTGTGGCGGCAACCAGGTGAGGAGTACAAAGACAAGTGTGTCTTGCCTACAGTCAAGTATGGTGGTGGGAGTGTCATGGTCTGGGGCTGCATGAGTGCTGCCGGCACTGGGGAGCTACAGTTCATTGAGGGAACCATGAATGCCAACATGTACTGTGACATACTGAAGCAGAGCATGATCCCCTCCCTTCGGAGACTGGGCCGCAGGGCAGTATTCCAACATGATAACGACCCCAAACACACCTCCAAGACAACAACTGCCTTGCTAAAGAAGCTGAGGGTAAAGGTGATGGACTGGCCAAGCATGTCTCCAGACCTAAACACTATTGAGCATATGTGGGGCATCCTCAAACGGAAGGTGGAGGAGTGCAAGGTCTCTAACATCCACCAGCTCCGTGATGTCGTCATGGAGGAGTGGAAGAGGACTCCAGTGGCAACCTGTGAAGCTCTGGTGAACTCCATGCCCAAGAGGGTTAAGGCAGTGCAGGAAAATGATGGTGGCCACACAAAATATTGACACTGGGCCCAATTTGGACATTTTCAATTAGGGGTATACTCACTTTTGTTGCCAGCGGTTTAGACATTAATGGCTGTGTGTTGAGTTATTTTGAGGGGACAGCACATTTACACTGTTATACAAGCTGTACACTCACTACTTTACATTGTAGCAAAGTGTCATTTCTTCAGTGTTGTCACATGAAAAGATATACTCAAATATTTACAAAAATGTGAGGGGTGTACTCACTTTTGTGAGATACTATATATTCAGTTTTTCACAATTCCTGACATTTAATCCTAGTACATATTGCCTGTCTTAGGTCAGTTTGGATCACCACTTTATTTTAAGAATGTGAAATGTCAGAATAATCGTACAGAGAATTATTTATTTCAGCTTTTATTTATTTCATCACATTCCCAGTGGGTCAGAAGCTTACATACACTCAATTAGTATTTGGTAGCATTGCCTTTAAATTGTTTAACTTGGGTCAAACTTTTTGGGTAGCCTTCAACAAGCTTCCCACAATAAGTTGGGTGAATTTAGGCTCATTCCTCCTGACAGAGCTGGTGTAACTGAGTCAGGTTTGTAGGCCTCCTTGCTCGCACATGCTTTTTCAGTTCTGCCCACAAATGTTCTATAGGATTGAGGTCAGGGCTTTGTGATGGCCACTCCAATACCTTGACTTTGTTGTCCTTAAGCCATTTTACCACAACTTGTGAAGTATGCTTGGGGTCATTGTCCATTTGGAAGACCTATTTGCGACCAAGTTTTAACTTCCTGACTGATGTCTTGAGATGCTGCTTCAATATATCCACATAACTTTCCTTCCTCATGATGCCATCTATTTTGTGAAGCGTACCAGTCCCTCCTGCAGCAAAGCACCCCCACAGCATCATGCTGCCACCCCTGTGCTTCACGGTTGGGATGGTGTTCTTCTGCTTGCAAGCGGCCCCCTTTTTCCTCCAAACATAACGATGGTCATTATGGCCAAACAGCTCTATTTTTGTTTCATCAGACCAGAGGACATTTCTCAAAAAAGTACGATCTTTGTCCCCATGTGCAGTTGCAATCCGTAGTCTGTCTTTTTTATGGTAGTTTTGGAGCAGTGGCTTCTTCCTTGCTGAGCGGCCTTTCAGGTTATGTCGATATAGGACTCGTTTTACGGTGGACATAGATACTTTTGTACCAGTTTCCTCCAGCATCTTCACAAGGTCCTTTGCTGTTGTTCTGGGATTGATTTGCACTTTTCGCACCAAAGTACGTTCATCTCTAGGAGACAGAATGCGTCTCCTTTCTGAGCGGTATGACGGCTGCATGGTCCCATGGTGTTTATACTTGCGTACTATTGTTTGTACAGATGAACGTGGTACCTTCAGGCGTTTGGAAATTGCTCCCAAGGATGAACCAGACTTGTGGAGGTCTACCATTTTTTTCTGAGGTCTTGGCTGATTTCTTTTGATTTTCTCATGATGTCAAGCAAAGAGGCACTGAGTTTGAAGATAGGCCTTGAAATACATCCACAAGTACACCTCCAATTGACTCAAATTAGAAGTTTCTAAAGCCATGACATAATTTCTGGAATTTTCCAAGCTGTTGAAAGGCACAGTCAACTTAGTGTATGTAAACTTCTGACCCACTGGAATTGTGATACAGTGAATTATAAGTGAAATAATCTGTCTGTAAACAATTGTTGGAAAAATGACTTGTGTCATGCACAAAGTAGATGTCCTAACCGACTTGCCAAAACTATAGTTTGTTAACAAGAAATGTGTGGAGTGGTTGAAAAAACGAGGTTTAATGACTCCAACCTAAGTGTATGTAAACTTCCGACTTCAACTGTATATGTTATTATTCAGGAATATATGGCTATCCTATATTACATTATAAGACCATTGAACAGCACGACATATCCCAGATTGTGCATTGTATTAATATTAAGAATTTCAAGAAGGCGGTGTAGCCTGCCATATAAAACAACCAAGAAAAATTATTAATTTAAAGAGGCACGATGCAGAAATCGCTTCCCCATTTCCTGGTTGCTAAAATTCTAATAGTTGTTTTATTTTTTATTTTATTTAACCTTTATTTAACAGGCAAGTCAGTTAAGAACAAATTCGTATTTACAATGACGGCCTACCCCGTCCAACGCCCTATGGGACTCCCAATCAAGGCCGGATTGTGATACAGGGTCTGTAGTGACGCCTCTAGCTCTGAGATGCAGTGCCTTAAACCGCTGCGCCACTCGGGATTACCCCTTCTCTTAATTTCAGTTTATGTGACAAAAGAAGCAAGTATAATGTAGAGAATCATTTTACCATTTAAACCGCTGTGAAATGTCTTTCCATAACCAAAAATATATATATTTTCAGCTGTTTGATGCTGGCATACAAAACCAAAAGTTAAAGACACAAAAACGAAACTTGAGAAAAGGAAGCATAGAAATAGTGCTCATAGAACATATCTACCCCTTCTTAGACTTTCAACGATAATGACAGATCTATTACAAAGATTTCTATGTGAATTTGGTTGGGTCCCAAAAAGTTACATATTGCACCTTTAAACATTGACATTTTGCTCATTATAAATGGCAAGCTTGTTCCTTTGATTTCATATCAAATGTCGAACAAAAATCAAAGTGACTTCTCCACTGAGCCACCCTGAAGTATAAGGGCTATTCTTGCTAATAGGACAAAATGTCCTGATTCTATTATGATGGTTATTTATCTCCCAAGTGTCGCACTTACGTTTTCTGAGGTAAGTTGCTGTGATCAAACTCAGAATGATCCCACTGACTTTCGAAATCGTGCGCCCCGACATCTGAAGTCCTAGGGATTTCTTCTACTTGAGTATGATATGCACCGTTGTGGTCCTCGTATGTATTCATCGACACGATTTCTTGGTCGTGATTGTCGGCGTCGCTGTATACCGTGTTATCATACCACTCTCCTCTCGGATTCTCTCGTCGTCTGTACAAAGCATCCGAAAGAGTCATACATCGGGTTAAAGTTGGGGGATTTAAAAGCGGGGTATCATCGACAACAGTGGATGGTAACGGTTGTGGATCAACCTCCCACTGCTCAGGTGCGCTCTCATGACCTTCGTCTCTATTGGGTGGGGAGGAAACCGCCGCTGCTCTCATCACGAGTGTGTGGCTTCAGGGTGGTTCCAACAGTCTTCTCCTAGTCTAGTCCTGGTTCTGAAACAAAAAGATGCACCAAATAGCTACCAATAAATCACTCTTGAGCAGTCACAATAATTTGAAGTCCTGGTTCTGAAACAAAAAGATGCACCAAATAGCTACTAATAAATCACTTTTGAGCAGTCACAATAATTTGAGAGCAAATATCTCACTCACTCTATGCAATGGATATACATCTGGTCTAAACTGCAATCCAAATCAATTGAGACCCTTTTGTCTGTCAGCTAGTGGTAATCAAAACGGGTTTATATTTTTCATCAACTCGTCTCCAAAAAGGTTGACATAAACTAAACTCCTGTGTGATCTGTAATGGAGCAGACCCTTTTAACATGTCAGACTCAATCCCTGTTGTGTGATCTAGTGGAGCAGGTACCCATATATAACATGTCAGGTGCAATAATTGGCTTCTGTGAACTGCCAAATCTTCTATGATGAATTGGGGCTGTCTGTTGAATCCCAACATCCTATTTTTGGGCTTTGATCCACTTCAAAAGAGCAAACAGGGCTTTCAAGACTGGTGTGTTCTGTAGTGCAGCAGGTAGCACATTATGCTAGTCTAATGTGACACACCATCCACGCTAACACTATAAGGTCTATGCTAGAGAATGTAACTCATTTGGCCGTAAAGCTTTCTCCTTTCAGCATTGAGGATTGAGAGATATTTAATTGCCGAAGGTTGTATTTAGATTTATTACATGAATGTTATGTGGTTGGGCACTGATCTTGTCTTGTGTGAGAATTGATAGCAAATCATAATGTGTATGCAATCTTCCTTGCACCCATCAGTGGCATATCATGCCGTTTCGCAAGGCCCCCGCAATGTCTGAGCAAACCCCCCTCCCCCCAAAAATATATTTTGTATTTTTCTGTGGAATTGTTTTGTTGTTGTTGCGGAAAACAGCTAACTGCTGAGAAAATGTTGCAGTTTTAAATCTAATCTCCTGTAATTCTAAACATTTTGCCATGGCTTATGACCTGTTCATATTGGGGAGGGGGCCCGACCTCCAGGGGGCCCCTAACAAATTAACAACTAAAAAATATATATGTATGTATATATTAGTGGTATGTCAGTGGCACCCATTCATGTAATTATTTTCAGTGGATTAGATTAGAATAACAAATCTGTGCCTGTATGGGTCATAAATGCAGCTGTAATGAATAAAAATCATTGAAGTTGACAAAGAAAATAGGAAAAGTACAGAATAATGTGCTGGGCAAATCAGTGAAAAACAACAGAGTTCAGATAATCTGAGTCCAGGTTATTATGCGATCCCTCTGGTTTAGCCTAATCAATGGCCTTGCATGACCATTAGATGCCAGGATCAATGGCTTTGATTACTGGAGGAACACCTCTGTCACGAGTGTTGAACACCCACACCGCTCAATGCTGCTTGATGGAGAGCCCTCCGTGCCTGGATACCAAGGTGCTCTGGCTACTGTGGAGGTCCAGGAAAACATTTTCCACAAAATTAGAGTGAACATTTGAAGTTTATGAAACAGAGTATCATAATATCAATGGAGGCTACTTAACATATGTTAGATCTCTGGGCTATGGGAAAATGTATAATGTGTAATGGTGGGATAGGCCTACATGCTGTAAACATGGATAGACACAGAATGCCTGATAGTTAAAATTAACTAAGCTGCATAATGAATATTTTGAAGATCGTCTTTGAGTATCGAAAGACAATGTAACTAAACTACCACATAACAATACACAAAAAGCTCAGTATTCCAGCTTCACATGATTCTGTAACCCCATCACCGATTATAATGCTGTTTCTGTGTGTCTGAGAGGAACCTGTCTGGCACACACCCTCGCACGCACGCACGCACAGATGGACATACGTGCACACACACACAAGGTACACCTGAAGCAATAAAGTTTGATCATCATAATAAAATAATTGACCCATGTGAGGCCAGTCTAGTGTGTTTCACGCATTAAAATATATTGAGTTTTTTATCAGCAAGACCATAAAACCATAATGTGTCATTTCCGTCAGTTAAATTAAGACAGGATATTGAATGTCAGTGTAAATGTCCAATTACAACCCATCAAGCACAAAAGAACCACCATCTATTTCAAAAGTCACAGTTCTTTAGAAGGGGTAGAATATGCCTAGTCATGGCAAAAATCTAAATAGCATACTCCTTCCTACTGCTCAAAGCCCATTGGAGGATAAGGTCAGAGGTGAGGGACCTCTGGCTTTCTCATCCAATGGGTTTTGAGAATGATGCGAGGAGAGAGGATGGTAGGAGTATGCATTTGAGATTCTCCCATTGTGTTGATTGCGTAAGGTGACTGGCAAATCTGTATTGCTTTCACAATGTGCTCACTGCTCTACTCTGACTGACACATTTACCCATCAAGCCTTCAGTAGAATATAACCCAAAGGAGAGTGTCTGGTATGGGGTTTAGTAATGAAAAAGTGAAAATCCCATTGATCATAATTTTGATATTGGATAAGCTGTCCCAAAATAGTTAACCACATCACCACAGGATTAACCTCATGTAATGGTGAAGTGATGCGACCAAGGAATTTATCTGAGAGGGTCCATTTACCTGTGAATCAAAATTACATTGCTGTAGTGGCCTACCAATTTCAAAGACAGATTTAAGACTGATTTACCTATGTGAGGAAGATATACATAAACAATGTTAGTCCAGTCTTAAATTCACTAGGGCACACAGTTGTTTACAGTTTGTTATAGGTTGTTATGCTTTCCAGCTCTCATGGAGTGTGACCTTGTTCATGTCTTATAAAATAGCACCCTCTAGTGATCAACATAACACATTGTTTGATGTATGGAGTGAATTGATCATGCAAATAAAATATATGCCCAGGATGATATAGCGCTGAATTTATCATCGTCCATGGCTAGATTTCCATACAATTGACGACAGATTTTCATGCGAATATTCTAAAGTCCGCATGAATACAATATGGGCATTTTCCCACCAGAGACGTGTTTACATCAAATTGACTTGTTGAGGATAAAAGTCTGTGCGTGATGACATAGAGCACATAAAATAACTTTTGCAGTTAAATTCCCATGTACCGAATAAAAAATACAAGTTAAATGGGTTCCCGTTGCATTTTCAACTCTACTGATGGTTTTGTCACTAAAAATGTTGCTCATTCTGGTATTGGCACGTGCGCTCTAGCCGAACGCAGATTCAGTGCGGGTATAGCCTACGTGAGATTATTATGGACAAAAGAGCGAGATAATTTTGATTTGTCAAATGGTAGCCAAGCAATGATATCACCAGAATAACACCCTCGATATTTATTGGAAAGGAGCATCAAGCTCATACCGTGCACTTTCACCACCCTGTAAAGTTCTTCATTTATTTAATCTCAAATCAAATCACAATGTATTTGTCACATGCGCAGAATAAAACAAGTGTAGACCTTAGTGAAACGCTTACTTACAAGCCCTTAACCAACAATGCAGTTTTACCCCCCTCCCCCCCAACAAAATAATATGTGCAATGCAAAGAGTCTGGGTAGCCATTTGATTAGATGTTTAGGAGTCTTATGGCTTGGGGGTAGAAGCTGTTTATAAGCCTCTTGGACCTAGACTTGGCGCTCCGGTACTGCTTGCCATGCGGTCCCAGAGAGAACAGTCTATGACTAGGGTGGCTGGAGTCTTTGATAATTTTTAGGGCCTTCCTCTGACATCGCCTGGTATAGAGGTCCTGGATGGCAGGAAGCTTGATGTACTGGGCCGTATGCACTACCCTGTGTAGTGCCTTGCGGTCGGAGGCCGGGTAGTTGCCATACCAGGTGGCGATGCAACCAGTCAGGATGCTCTTGATGGTGCAGCTGTAGAACCTTTTGAGGATCTGAGGACCCATGCCAAATCTTTTCAGTCTCCTTAGGGGGAATAGGTTTTGTCGTGCCCTCTTGGCCCATGTTAATTTGTTGGTGATGTGGACACCAAGGAACTTGAAGCGCTCAACCTGCTCCACTACAGCCCTGTCGATGAGAATGTAGTCCTCAATCATCTCCTTTGTCTTGATCACGTTGAGGGAGTGGTTGTTGTCCTGGCACCACACGGCCAGGTCTCTGACCTCCTCCCTATAGTCTGTCTCGTCGTTGTCGGTGATCAGGCCTACCACTGTTGTGTCATCGGCAAACTTAATGATGGTGTTGGAGTCGTGCCTGGCCATGCAGTCATGAGTGAACAGGGAGTACAGGAGGGGACTGAGCACGCACCCCTGAGGGGCCCCCGAGTTGAGGATCAGCATGGCGGATGTGTTAATACCTAACCTTACCACCTGGGGGCGGCCCATCAGGAAGTCCAGGATCCAGTTGCAGAGGGAGGTGTTTAGTCCCAGGGTCCTTAGCTTAGTGATGAGCTTGAGCATATACAGTGAGGGAAAAAAGCATTTGATCCCCTGCTGATTTTGTACGTTTGCCCACTGACAAAGAAATGATCAGTCTATAATTTTAATGGTAGGTTTATTTGAACAGTGAGAGACAGAATAACAACAAAAAGATCCAGAAAAACGCATGTCAAAAATGTTATAAATTGATTTGCATTTTAACGAGGGAAATAAGTATTTGACCCCTTTGTAAAACATGACTTAGTACTTGGTGGCAAAACCCTTGTTGGCAATCACAGAGGTCAGACGTTTCTTGTAGTTGGCCACCAGGTTTGCACACATCTCAGGATGGATTTTGTCCCACTCCTCTTTGCAGATCTTCTCCAAGTCATTAAGGTTTCGAGGCTGACGTTTGGCAACTCGAACCTTCAGCTCCCTCCACAGATTTTCTATGGGATTAAGGTCTGGAGACTGGCTAGGCCACTCCAGGACCTTAATGTGCATCTTCTTGAGCCACTACTTTGTTGCCTTGGCCGTGTGATTTGGGTCATTGTCATGCTGGAATACCCATCCACAACCCATTTTCAATGCCCTGGCTGAGGGAAGGAGGTTCTCACCCAAGATTTGACGGCTCCGTCCATCGTCCCTTTGATGCGGTGAAGTTGTCCTGTCCCCTTAGCAGAAAAACACCCCCAAAGGAAAATGTTTCCACCTCCATGACGGTGGGGATGGTGTTCTTGGGGTCATAGGCAGCATTCCTCCTCCTCCAAACACGGCGAGTTGAGTTGATGCCAAAGAGCTCCATTTTGGTCTCATCTGACCACAACACTTTCACCCAGTTCTCCTCTGAATCATTCAGATGTTCATTGGCAAACTTCAGACGGGCATGTATATGTGCTTTCTTGAGCAGGGGGACCTTGCGGGCGCTGCAGGATTTCAGTGTGTTACCAATTGTTTTCTTGGTGACTATGGTCCCAGCTGCCTTGAGATCATTGACAAGATCCTCCCGTGTAGTTCTGGGCTGATTCCACACTGTTTTCATGATCATTGCAACTCCACGAGGTGAAACCTTGCATGGAGCCCCAGGCCGAGGGAGATTGACAGTTCTTTTATGTTTCTTCCATTTGCGAATAATCACACTAACTGTTGTCACCTTCTCACCATGCTGCTTGGCGATGGTCTTGTAGCCCATTCCAGCCTTGTGTAGGTCTACAATCTTGTCCCTGACATCCTTGGAGAGCTCTTTGGTCTTGGCCATGGTGGAGAGTTTGGAATCTGATTGATTGATTTTTTCTGTGGACAGGTGTCTTTTATACAGGTAACAAGCTGAGATTAGGAGCACTCCCTTTAAGAGTTTGCTCCTAATTCAGCTCGTTACCTGTATAAAAGACACCTGGGAGCCAGAAATCTTTCTGATTGAGAGGGGGTCAAATACATATATCCCTCATTAAAATGCAAATCAATTTATAACATTTTTGACATGCGTTTTTCTGGATTATTTTGTTGTTATTCTGTCTCTCACTGTTCAAATAAACCTACCATTAAAATTATAGACTGATAATTTCTTTGTCAGTGGATAAATGTACAAAATCAGCAGGGGATCAAATACTTTTTTCCCTCACTGTAAGTTACTTAGCTCGTCTGGTAGACTCGTGTCACTGGGCAGCTCGCGGCTGTGCTTCCCTTTGTAGTCTGTAATAGATTGCAACTCCTGCCACATCCAACGAGCGTCGGAGCCGGTGTAGTGCGATTCGATCTTAGTCCTGTATTGGCGCTTTGCCTGCTTGATGGTTCGTCGGAAGGCATAACGGGATTTCTTATTATCTTCCGGGTTAGAGTCCCGCTCCTTGAAAGCGGCAGTTCTACCCTTTAGCTCAGTGCGGATGTTGCCTGTAATCCACAGCTTCTGGTTGAGGTATGTAGGTACAGTCACTGTGGGGACGACGTCATCGATGCACTTATTGATGATGCCAGTGACTGATGTGGTGTACTCCTCAATGCCATTGGAAGAATCCCGGAACATATTCCAGTCTGTGCTAGCAAAACAGTCCTGTAGTTTAGCATCTGCTTCATCTGACCACTTTTTTATTGACCGAGTCATTGGTGCTTCCTGCTTTAGTTTTTGCTTGTAAGCAGGAATCAGGAGGATAGAATTATGGTCAGATTTGCCAAATGGAGGGCGAGGGAGAGCTTTGTACGTGTCTCTGTGTGTGGAGTAAAGGTGGTCTAGAGTTTTTTCCCCTCTGGTTGCACATTTAACATGCTGGTATAAATGAGGTAAAACGGATTAAAGTTTCCCTGCATTAAAGTCCCCGGCCACTAGGAGCGCCGCCTCTGGATGAGCGTTTTCCTGTTTGCTTATGGCCGTATACAGTTCATTGAGTGCGGTCTTAGTGCCAGCATCGGTTTGTGGTGGTAAATAAACAGCTACGAAGAATATAGATGAAAACTCTCTTGGTAGATAGTGTGGTCTACAGCTTATCATGAGATACTCTACCTCAGGCGAGCAAAACCTCGAGACTTCCTTAGATATTGTGCACCAGCTGTTGTTTACAAATATACATAGACCGCCACCCCTTGTCTTAGCAGAAGCTGCTGTTCTATCCTGCCGATACAGTGTATAACCCGCCAGTTGTATTTTATTAATGTCTTCGTTCAGCCATGACTCTGTGAAACCTAAGATATTAAAGTTTTCAATGTCCCATTGGTAGGATACATGTGCTTGTAGTTCGTCCACTTTATTATCAAGCGATTGTAAGTTGGCCAATAATATCGATGGCAAAGGCAGATTAGCCACTCGTCTCCGGCTCCTTACCAAGCACCCCGATCTCCTTCCGCGATTTCTCCTTTTCTTTCTACTGCGAATGACAGGGATGAGGGCCCTGTCAGGTGTCTTGAGCAAATCCCTCTCATCCGACTCATTAAAGAAAAATTATTTGTCCAGTTCAAGGTGAGTTCTGATGTCCAGAAGCTCTTTTCGGTCATAAGAGACGGTAGCAGCAACATTATGTACAAAATAAGTTACAAACAATGCGAAAAAACACACAAAATAGCACAGTTGGTTAGGAGCATAAAACGGCAGCCATCCCCTCCGGCGCCATTATGATGGTCCTGGATGGCATGCTTTCCCGACGAGTAATAGTGGGAGGACCACACACCATATCATCGCGACTCCAAGTTTACTTCGATATGATGGTTATTGTATTAATATTTTAGCATAAAATTGTTTCCACCGACATTTCTCGCATAGTTAATTTTACCGACACAAAAGATCCCACCTTGTGTAGCTTATTTTGTTTTGTCTACATTGTGAAGGTTTACCTACAAAATGTTGGGTTTCCATCAGGCCTGTCATTACGTTTTCTATCAGACATACTTTACTCACATTAAAAGGTTGGATGGAAACCTGGTTCATGTTTGAGAATTGTCTAGATGGATGTACATTTCATTGGCCAATAGGTTAACCTACAGCCAATAAACTAAACTCTTGTGAAAGGACTTGGTTTGATAGAGAAGGAACACCTGCTGCTAATTTTCAAATTAGGGGTGCATTTCAATAGTCAATAGTGACTCTTTTCCTCCATCTGCATTGACTTTTAACTGCTGGTAAGGAGTGACAGCTAGACTATTGAGATCTACACCCTGTTCCTCAATTAAGTCTTGTTAGAAACGGCAGGTGCTGATTGGCTTGGGGGAGTGTATAGTAACTTGGTAAATCAGTATAAGAAGTGAATGAGCTGTACATCTGAGCAACTTTAAGTAATCTATCATGATGAGTTTTGTTACAAAGTATATTGGTGTCCATGCTGTGATTTTGGGACTGCTGCTAGCTCAGGTAAAAATAAAATGAGTCAGTGGGCTTCACTTCTGAGCGCACTATTACAAAGTGAGCAGTGTAACAATACAGATCAAGTAGTAGATAGAAATCTGAGACTTTTGTTTAGTTCCTGTTTAAATATACTATATGAAGTATGTCTGCTATTATTGACACTGTAGTGGAGACCTTATTTTGCATGTTTTTCCAGGCAATCTCATGCAATGTGACGGGAGTGTGGCGAAATGAGCTGGGCTCTGTGCTTCATATTGAGGCGGTTGGTTCTGAGCTCCGAGGCCTCTATCAGAGTGCAGTAGAAACTGCTCCAGGAGTCACCGGTCCAGAACAACAGGCCAAGCTACTGGGTGTGATCAGCAATCGGGGTCTGCAAACCTCTGTTGCTTTCTCTGTGTTATGGGAGGCAGGTGAGTGTGTAAAACCTGGGATGTGTTCAGCAAGGACTAATGCTTGGATGGGAAACATAGTGTAGCACTAATTACTCCAGTTCTATTTACATTCCACAATGTGGCCCTGGACTCCCATCTGAATGACCTTGACTGTAACAATGGCTGCGACCGGTCAAATGCCAATGTTATGATGCAATTGATTCTATTTCCTGTCCCCAAGGTTCCTGTAGCTCTTGGGTTGGTCAGTGTTTCCAACTGCCAGATGGGAAGCGAGTTCTGAAGACCCTGTGGATGCTGCGCTCGGTGGCTTCATGCCCTGCAGACAACTGGAAGAGTACCAGGTAGCCTACAGCTCCTCACTACTTAGCGTAGGCCTGGGAGGGCGGGGGGGGGGGGGGGAATGTTTCTGTGGAACACAACCGGCCATCACTAAAAGCCCACTGACATGAGATCTAGAGGTAAAACCCTAATGTTTTTAGAGGTAATTCCTATTTATGAAATGGCCATTAAGCATATTTGTATTCCATTTAGTTTTTTGATGCCTAGTTTTTTTTTTTTTTTTTTTCTCAGGATGGGAGAGGACACTTTCATCTTTGTTTCCTGAAAGCAGAATGTACTGATCATCTGACAAGCCTGCATTTGGTTTGCTGCCCTCTACTGAATTTTCTTTGCTCTCTCTCCATAGAAATAATCTGTTTTATGCTCAGGGCTGATCTCTCAACCATGCCATGAATTATGATGAAACTGAAGTTCAATTCACAAGTGTCATTTACCTTGTCTTTCCTAATATAAATAAAACCCTAAACTCAGACGTGGATGATATGCTTGGGTTTATTCTTCAAACGGTCTGTTAAATGAACATTCTTGGTACCAAAGTGGGATGAACTTGTGCTTGGAAGGAGTCAGGCGCAGGAGGGTAAAAAACAGGCTTTATGCCGGAATGGAGTTACACAGGAATGCGTCAAAACAGGCACACTGGAACCAACAAAGCACACCGGGAAAATAACCCAGTGACAGAAGGAGCTCAACTGAGCTTATTGATCCACAAACAATCCCACACAAAGACAAGGGGGCAGAGGGACCACTTATACAGGTACTAATGAGGGGATATGAACCAGCTGTGTAATAAACAAGACAAAACAAATGGAATGAGGAGCGGCAGTGGCTAGAAGGCCGGTGACGACGAATGCTGAAGCCCGCCGGAACAAGGAGAGGAGGCAGCCTTGGAAGTCGTGACAGAACTATTGTTTCAGACATTACAGAGCACAGGTGCATACGGCTTAGGTTTCTAAGCCAAGGTTATAAACTTACTGACCACGTTTACATGCACACCAATATGTTATTGTTCAGGGTACTCAATTATTGTGTTTGAGTTGACGCATAAACCTCATATCCTGTTTCCAATGACCCAACTGAAGCTTGTATCCCGGTTGAGAAACCCAGCAAATTTTGACGTGCTACTGTGGCATGTAAAAATCTTAGTGCATCTGGCAGGGGTGCAGCACTTGTCAGCCCCTGCAACAGTAAATCTGAAGTACACTGCTCAAAAAAATAAAGGGAACACTTAAACTACACAATGTAACTCCAAGTCAATCACACTTCTGTGAAATCAAACTGTCCACTTAGGAAGCAACACTGATTGACAAATTTCACATGCTGTTGTGCAAATGGAATAGACAACAGGTGGAAATGATAGGCAATTAGCAAGACACCCCCAATAAAGGACTGGTTTTGCAGGTGGTGACCACAGACCACTTCTCAGTTCCTATGCTTCCTGGCTGATGTTTTGGTCACTTTTGAATGCTGGCGGTGCTTTCACTCTAGTGGTAGCATGAGACGGAGTCTACAACCCACACAAGTGGCTCAGGTAGTGCAGCTCATCCAGGATGGCACATCAATGCGAGCTGTGGCAAGAAGGTTTGCTGTGTCTGTCAGCGTAGTGTCCAGAGCATGGTGGCGCTACCAGGAGACAGGCCAGTACATCAGGAGGCCGTAGGAGGGCAACAACCCAGCAGCAGGACTGCTACCTCCGCCTTTGTGCAAGGAGGAGCAGGAGGAGCACTGCCAGAGCCCTGCAAAATGACCTCCAGCAGGCCACAAATGTGCATGTGTCTGCTCAAACGGTCAGAAACAGACTCCATGAGGGTGGTATGAGGGCCCGACGTCCACAGGTGGGGGTTGTGCTTACAGCCCAACACCGTGCAGGACGTTTGGCATTTGCCAGAGAGCACCAAGATTGGCAAATTCGCCACTGGCGCCCTGTGCTCTTCACAGATGAAAGCAGGTTCACACTGAGCATGTGACAGAGTCTGGAGACGCCGTGGAGAACGTTCTGCTGCCTGTAACATCCTCCAGCATGACCGGTTTGGCGGTGGGTCAGTCATGGTGTGGAATGGCATTTCTTTGGGGGGCCGCACAGCCCTCCATGTGCTCGCCAGAGGTAGCCTGACTGCCATTAGGTACCGAGATGAGATCCTCAGACCCCTTGTGAGACCATATGCTGGTGCGGTTGGCCCTGGGTTCCTCCTAATGCAAGACAATGCTAGACCTCATGTGGCTGGAGTGTGTCAGCAGTTCCTGCAAGAGGAAGGCATTGATGCTATGGACTGGCCCGCCCGTTCCCCAGACCTGAATCCAATTGAGCACATCTGGGACATTATGTCTCGCTCCATCCACCAACGCCACGTTGCACCACAGACTGTCCAGGAGTTGGCGGATGCTTTAGTCCAGGTCTGGGAGGAGATCCCTCAGGAGACCATCCGCCACCTCATCAGGAGCATGCCCAGGCGTTGTAGGGAGGTCATACAGGCACGTGGAGGCCACACACGCTACTGAGCCTCATTTTGACTTGTTTTAAGGAATTACATCAAAGTTGGATCAGCCTGTAGTGTGGTTTTCCACTTTAATTTTGAGGGTGACTCCAAATCCAGACCTCCATGGGTTGATAAATTTGATTTCCATTGATAATTTTTGTGTGATTTTGTTGTCAGCACATTCAACTATGTAAAGAAAAAAGTATTTAATAAGATTATTTCATTCATTCAGATCTAGGATGTGTTATTTTTGTGTTCCCTTAATTTTTTTGAGCAGTGTAGTATGCTCCTCTCACTGGTGCGGTGAATTTACCTGTATCAGAGAGGAGACATAACCACCATACTTAATCCAACAATGTGGGTTACTGTGCTATATTTTCATGTGCTGTAATTGAAAGTCCAGTGCTTCTGAAGTTCATTGTGGTGACTCAAGATACTCATCCGGGTAGGTCCTTATGAATACATGATATGCTGTGTAGATTATACCCACAGCAAGAAGATATAGCCTAATATTTGATAAAGAATTGAAATTCTGCAATATTTGCTGTATAAGAAATACTCAACAATGGAATGGGAATACACATATAAATGCAGCAGGGTACCTGTGTATGTACTGTAAGCATATGTACTCTCTTGTAGATCAGGTCATAATAGTAAATATCGTTGAGGAAGGGTCCAAAGTAGCCATCAATTCCTAAAGATGCAGAGAATGCCAGCTTTGGTGTGTCTGTGAACACAATGTCATCGCAATTTAAACATTTTCAGTGGCAAACTAATTATCGATGCACGGATTGTTACGCTACTGTGAAGTCAACAACTCAAAGCGCTATATACAGTATGTAATGATGGCTCTGTAGTGTGTACACTTCGCCGTACATGAACTTGCTTTCTTCAGCTCGTCAACCTCTCCTCTAAGCTCCACCCCCTCTGACTCCTGCTCTTGTAGCTGGATCTCAGTGTTGTTTGACCTGCTAGTAAGGCCCTCCAGTTTGCGGAGCTAAGGAAAATATATCACACTAACTCCCATGACAACATTACCAAATAACTGTGTTAATAATATATGTTTTGTTCTCTTTAGCAGTACCACAGACCTTTTTATTTGTATGACAGAGGTAATATTTGACTTAAATGTAAAAGAGCACGTACCATAATGCTCCCTCCACAGTGCTACTACTTCAACTTTCTTCAGGTTATCCACCACAGCTCCTAGCTTCTCCACGTCTGTCCCCTGCTCCTCTAGCTGGATCTCAGTGTTGTTTGACTTGGCATTAAGGGCCTCCAGTTCCCGGGCTTGACCTAAAGGAAATATATCACAATTAATACACTAACTCCCACGACAACATTTCCAAAAACCATGGTGTTTGTTTTGAGACATTAATCCTTTAATTTGTTCTCTTCATCAGTAACATACTTTGTATTGTCACTGTCAGAGGACATTGTAGACCTGTAAACAAGAGGGTCTGTACTGTGTGTACGTACCAAAATGCTCCCTCCACAGTTGCACTACTTCAGTTTTCTGATGTGTCAGGTCCTTCTTCTGTTTCCCGACCTCAGTCACAGTGCTGTTCAGCCTGACATCAAGGACCACAAGTTCCTGGGCTTGACCTGAAATCAGCTGAATAGCCTTAAATAATAGCCTCAAGTTCACAGGTCAAATTACCAATCATTCTTGCTATTATAACTTTCCTACCTTCATCCTCCCTCCACAGATTGAGTACTTCAATTGTCAGCTCCACCACCTTAATCTTCTGTTCCTCCAGTTGGGTCTCGGTAGTGTTTGACCTCATGGTGAGGGCCTCCAGTTCGTCTGATTGAGCTTCATATGGGTTCCATTAGAAAGCAGCCACAGTGAGTGCAAACAGAAATTGGATGGCCTTGAGGCAGTTTAATAAATGTGGCCCCCTGATAAAATAATTTTTTTCCAGATCACAACATCCTGACCTTTAATCAACCTCTGTGTACAATGTAATGACTGTTGGCTATTATAAACAACATACTGTACCTTCACCCACTCTCTTCAGCTCCTCCACCTCAGCTTTCAGCTCGGTCAAATCCACCCCCTGTTCTCCCACCTGGGTCTCAGTGCTGTTTGACCTAGCATAAAGGTCCTCCAGTACCACGCTTTGAGCTGAAATTACAGTCATGACAAATGATTGTGCTCTGATTCAGAGGGGTTGGGTTAAATGTGGAAGACACATTTCAGTTGAATGCATTCAGTTGTACAACTGACTAGGTATCCCTCTTTCCCTTTCTACATGTAAAGAGAACATAAATCTCCCCATCAGTTCATGTCTTTAAACATAGTTGATTACCTCTGTTCTCTTTCTTCACCTCCTCCACAGCAGTCTCACTGGCCTTCAGTCTGCCCTGCAAGTGCCCCTGTTCAACCATGTGGGCTAAAAATATAATGATTGATTCAGTTTGTGAGGTAACCATTTACATTTTGCTGCACTGTATCTTCTCTATTTTCTATGTACATTACCTTCAGTCACCTTCTTAATTTCATTCAACTGTCTCTCATTGGACATTAACCTTGTTCCCAAGGCTGAAATGGATCAGAAAAAAATGTAAGCACACTTAAAAAGCTACCTTTTCAAAGTTTTGGTACCCTGAACTTAATTATAAAATTCAGTCAATTTACGAATGGAATGGTGTTGCTCTAAAATAGAATAGACATGAACATGGCAGTGGCAGGATCAAACAATGGATAATGATAGCAACAATTACAACAGCAATATTGTTGATAATATAAATAATACCGGAGTTGTCATTCCTGAGTTCCTCGATCTAC